CACACTGTTTTCTGATGGTGTTTTAGCGTAACAAAAGAGCCTTCCATAATTTGGGTTTTCCTTTTCAACCGGTGGCACAAAATAGGATGATACTTCATAAACTTATCTGTACTAACACATTTGACAGCTTTTATGAAAAGAATTCATTTGATAACATTTAACCTCTGCAAGTCTCTGAGTTCTCAAGTGCTATGAAAAAAACTCCCCACAACGTGCAGTTTATATGAGGCTTTTGTTACCTGCAGTGTGTGTCGCTTCCATTGAGGATGTTCCCAGGTGCCTGTTTGCTGTGCTGACTGGGGGGATCACTGACAGTCACTAGTCCTGGTGGAAAAACCCTGCTCTAGTGCGGCAGGTTTGTTTGGACTGAGTATCTGAACAAGCCACTTGGAGGCAGCGAGCATTCCAAGCTCAAAAGAAAAGATCAGGGCTTAAAATGTCACCCAGTTCTCCAACGCCTTGAGCCACCTGTAATTGCTTACTGTACAAATGGCTTCCAAGCTGTTTTACTACTAGACCGTTACACACCACAGAAGCAGCATTTACTTGCCTTTCCCAAGTGAAACAAATGCCCAGAACAGTACCTAGCAAAGAACTGGCAAAGTGTGTTCCTCTAAAAGAGCTTTACCTTCTTGAACTGCCACAAAATATTAACTGTGTTAACAGATAAATTTATCTGACTTTTGTCCCAGGCTGCTGAAAACAAGAGCCATGGCCTTACACCCACAGTATGCAAGAATGTTTTTCATATACTGCCATCTGTCGTTACCAGGCACCATTTCATAACTACGCCTCTCTGAGTTTCTATTCCAGCAGTAAGCTTCTTTCCGAGAAGTCTGCTAAAAGGGCAGTTAAGTGGGAAGAACTGGTTTAATTCATACATGCTCTGCCCGAGACAGCATGCAGTGAGATTCCAACAATTCTGCTTTCAATTGTGGCAATAGCCAAATTTGTGTTTTTTCTCCCACTTAATTTACTTCAATTGTAAGTTTGCATCTTTATTCAGACCATAGCCAGAGTATTAATGTTCTACATCAGCAGTAAATTTACAGCAAAACATACACACACATCACAATTTTTGCATATATTTATACACACACCAAAATTATAAAAGATTATATGAGTGCATAGATAAATTTACATATACCGTCCTACTTACTCAGACAACTGTTTCAGAGTATGCATGTTTAGTTATGGTTCATATATATAGAAGGTATGGATTTGAATCCAAAATCTGATCAGTTAGCAACTTGTTCCCTAAATCTGTATTATAAAAAAATTGAACATGAGAAAAGTAAAGCAATCACTGTGTGTGGGAGAGCAATCCTAAAGCAGTCGAGCACACGTGGCACTCAGACACACAGTGACAAACCACCTGGTGAGATGCTAAAAGCAACACTCAGGCTAAAGGTGTTTAAGACCTGTGCGTATGCCTTGTCTGAAAGGGAATCTCCTGTCGTGGATACTACTCTCTGTAGTTCAGTAGATCTGGGCCAATTCTGAGCTCTTTCATTTACTTCCTCTGCCATCTGGGGCAGCTCCCAAGCTCTGCCCCTGTAGCTCATCTGCTGAGCAGAGCTAGTGAAGTTCCTTTCTCTCCTATTAGGCAGAGGTGTTTCTAGGTACATACTGCCATACAGGCTCATTACTGTTTTAGGCTTGGCATCATCCGAACATGACTTAAGTGTTTCTAGATCTAAGCTGCCCAGGGAAGAGCTTCACACTTTCAGGGCCTAAAGCAGCATGTGCCCCTGGACCTGGAAAGGTCACAGACAGCAAGAGGCACTGTCCAGAATCAACATGCAGCCTGGACAAACTTCTCACACTTAACAAAGTTGACAGTAAGAGCAAAGGACAATATTTATGTGGCCAAAAAGAGCAAAATAAGCATGGTTTCAAAGTGGAAGTGGTGAGACTTAAACATCATGTGAAAGCAGATCAAAATCTGTGCTTGTTGCAGCCAGAGGTTAGCTCAGAAAATATGTGGGATTCATGACCCATTGAATGACAGCAAGCTATTCAGCCTGAGCCCAGTACAGAATTACAGTTCCTGGTTTTAAACATTTGCAGTGGAGGGGAGAAAAAAAAAGATGTTATGGACTAATTTCATACTCGAAACCACGGGGACAAACTTCCAAAAGGCCAGATGTTTTTCTTCCTTAAAGAAGGGGAAGGATCTCAGCAATACACTTAAGAACTTGTGTATTTAAAAATGCAGAAAGGCACAGCAGAGTTGGTCATGTTTTTTTAATCCACAAAAATATATTTATTTGCATGTGCAAATACTCACAGGATATTTATTATGACTGAAAACCATATGCTCACGACTTAAATAACAAGTTCACTTGCCATTTAAAACTGCAGACTTAGTAACTGCAACTGACAGTTTTACACCCCAAACGTTAAAGAACTTGATGCTTCTTTCTGTTCTTTATGCAACTGTTTTGCTCTGTTTTTCAAATCCTCTGCCTTAGTATCATTCTTCTCAACGCCATCTCCCAGTTTGTACATTCGGCTGGCATTGGCACAAGCCCACATGTGACCCAGCTCACACCCTTTCAGCGAGTACTTCAAAGCAGAGGTCATGTCCTTAGGGACCCCAGGTGCTCCTTGGAGATATATTACACTGAGGTTGAAGCAGCTGGGAGCAAAATTACCATCACAGGCTTTTGTGTAATAGTCTCTAGCGACAACAGGGTCAGGTTTGTCATCGTTTACTCTCCCATCATGGGCCAACAGCCCAACGTTATGACACGCATTTACTGATTTCTTCCCACCTTTCTCACATGACTTCATAAAAGACTTGTAGGCAGCTTTCAAATCTAGGTCGAGTCCACCTGTCAGACAAGAAACCAAAAGATTACTGTAAGGGCACGCTAAAACAGACGGGAGCTCTCTGCTTTGCAGCATGCTTCCCAGTGCTCTTTGGGAAGTACAGCATCCCTCACTTTGGATGCTACAGTTAAAATTTACTACTTCAGAAACACTATTGTTGTCTCCATTACAAAGGTTTTGCTAATGTCTTCAAGCTCAGAAACTCTCCTCCACTCCCCAATAATCACAACAGCTTATGCAGACAAAAATAACCAACCTCAAAACATTCTTTCCACTGCTACATCTACGGATTTCTTAATAGGTTACACTAGGCAAAGTATCATTTTGCCAGTATGCCTACACGTACACTGAGATTGTTACTAGTTTTGAAAAACAGTAAAAATACCATGTTTGTTACAAGTATTGCCATTTGGAAGAAGCCTCACTCGTTTAACTGCTTTCTATTACTGTACCAGCAGATAAATTTTGGGCAGACTTGGGGCCTGCTTATATAAGTAGTATTACCAGGCTGCAAGTTTATTTATTCCTTACTTTCTCTAAAAAAGAACAGCTAGGCAAGAAGAAATCAACATTTTAACAAAAGGACACACGCAACATCCAGCACTGGATATACTTACCACTTATACAGACATAATTGTGAAAAATACTACACGTGGTTAACCTAAAGCTGATTCTTCAGAAGGAAGCAATTCAAGGTTTTCCACCCTTCCCCAGCTTTTATTACACATCATAAAAGAGGCAGGAGAGGTCGTTTGCAAGGTCAGGAGGGAACGCAGGTGTTCAGCACCTTTGGAAAAGCAGGAGCTGCGTCTCCCCACAGCCGTCGGGCGCTCTCCCCGTCCCGGTGCCCGTACACCGAGGACTCGGGCGGGAAAGCAGCCCCGCGGGGCACGGGGCAGCAGAGGCAGGGACACGGGCACCAGGCCTGCCCGCCCCGCTCACCTTTGCCGATGGCCTGGTAGCCTCCCAGCTTGTAGCAACTCTCGCTGTGCCCGTGCGCCTCGCAGTTGT